TTCCTTTTTAATGGAAGGATATAAGCAAAGGTAAATGGAAAAAAATGTGGAATAATATACCCTACTCTTTGGTGCCACTAGGCACTGAGTTTGGATTATAGCATGAGCTTGATATCAATATCCCCTGAGGGAGAGAAATAAAGCGGGGAGCATCCAAAAGGTTCTTCCTGGTGGAAGAATCCAAGGTCAAGATACAAAAATCAGTTGTATTTCTAATTGCTAGCAGCAACCAACTGGAAAATTAAATTTATAAAACTATTCCCCTTATAATAGCATTAGAAACATAGAAAATACTCAGAAATAATAACAAAAATCGTGTGAGACCTCTACAGTAAACCACAAAACATACATAAGAGAAATTAAACTAGAAAATATGTAAGAGAAAGTAAAGAAAACTAAAATGAAGAGATAAACCATATTTGTCAAGTGGAGATCTCCATATTATTAAAATGCAATTCTCCCCAAATTATTCTATAGATTCTACTCAATCCCAATCAAAACTGTCACAATTGGTAGACATTGACAAGTTGATTCTAAAATGTATATAGAAATACAAAAAAAGCTAGGATGTATCATTTTTTTAATTTGGCCAAGAAGAAAAAATCACTTGGGGGATTCACTTGATTTCAATGCTTACTTTAAAGGTTTAATAATCAAGACAGTATAATATTGGCATAAGGATAGGCAAAAAGATCAATGAGAGAAAATAGAGAATCCTGAAATAGACCCAAACAGATATGGTCAACAAAGGCACCAAGAGGAAAAAAAAATTCTTTTCAATGACCAAGGTTGGAACTACTGGATATAGGAGAGAAGTAAACCTTGACCCCTGCCTTTCACCACACACAAAAATTAATTCAAAATCATCACAGACTGAAATGTGAAGATTAAAACTACAACAATCCTAGAAGAAAACATAGGGAAAACATCTTTCTGACCTTTGGGCAAGCAGAGACTTCTTGCAGAGGACAAAAAGTATATATTAACTATACAAGAAAATATTAATAAATGAAACTTCATCAAAATGTAAAACTTCTGCTCATCAAAAGGCACCACTAACAATATGAAAAGGCAAGCAACAGGCAGGGAGAAAATACTTGCAATACATATAGCTGACAAAAGACATTAGCCAGAATATATAAAGAACTTCTATAAATCAATAACAAAAAGCAACCTAATTTTTTAATTGAGCAAATGTATATGAACTGATACATAACAAAAAAGTTACACAAATGGACAATAAGCTTATGAAAAGGAGCTCAACATCACCGGTTATGACAATGATGCAAACCTAAGCCAAAAGAAAAATGAAAATTTCAAAGCACACAAGGCTTACTTGGCAGGAGACTTGCAGGATATAAATGTGCATTTGGGACTTGTGTTTTAAGGACCACAGTATCTTTTTGGCTTGAGGGCCATGCAAAGGGCTTTTTCCCTCATCCTCATCAAAATGGAACCACAAATCACCATGGTTTGTATGTATGTTTTGTGGTTTACAAACCATCTATCTTTGGAATAGATACCAAAGACTCAAGGAGACTCAGAGTGAGGTTCAAGAGATGCCTCTCCACCCCACCCCATCAGATCTTGCTTTTAATTTCCCTCTTATAAAAGATCTGCTTCTCAACAAGCTGCTGACACCCCAGGGTCTTGACCCTGACTGCTCTCAGAATCAAAGTATACAAAGATCCCCAGGATATAAGTAATGTGGGACTGGTATCTGTGGAGGATACGGAACCACACAGTGATCAGAGCGTGTCGCATCGTCCCTTCAACTCAGCAAGGGTCAACACCCAAATGCTACTCACACTATAGGGAGAGTAGGGTCAGCAAAAGTGGCTGAATGTCAAATCGATACCAAGTGAATTTGAGAGTAAGCATGCCAAAGAATGGGCTCTATTTGTTAAAAGTGGTAAGAGGCTTGAAATGGAACTCCAGTTTCAGCCTTAGTCTCTGAGAACCTTTAGGAGAAAGATGAAGTTCCCATTTAAAAGAAAAAAATCAAGACCAATTAAATCTATGTGAGGTGGGGAGGGGAACCCACATGGCTGGAGGAGCAACACCCTGAGTTACAGAAGCCAAGGGTTGGGGAGCAGGCCTGGGGAGCTCAGAAGAGCTCGTTAGGACTCCTGAGTTGTTGGCTGAAAACAGAAGTTCTCGGGCGGGGTGGGGGGGTGCGCAGCAGACAAGTGCATGCCCTTTATTCTGGCTGCCTGGCACATCTGCCCCATCTTCTCAGGCTCCTGCCTGGACACTGTCTTGCTTCTCATTTGTCGTCTCTACTGAGGCCTGGAGCAAAATGGCCCTGGAACCCATGCCCTGCTCCACAGCTCAAGGAGCCTCATTTGCGCCCCACCCCCAGGAGAAGGCCTGGCCAGTGGTCAGCCCACTATCCCATGGGCAGGGGAAAAGAGGAATGGATCCTTCATCCTGCCTTCTCATTCTTCCCACTGAGGCTCCACTTCCTGGGGTGGCGACTGTGCTGTGGGTCCCTCTCCTCATCCTTGTCCAGCCTCATCTCCTTGCTTCTGAGGGTGGGACCGAGGGCAACATGAAGCACGGGGGAACCCTTGAGATTAGAGGGCTTGACTAACGTAGGCCTCACCCGGGGAGCTGTCACCTGGAAGCCTGAGCAGCCAAGGGTGTCACATCAGCACTTGAGACTCAGAGTAAGCCATGCAGCTTCCTTGGAGGCCCTTGTCCCCTCTCTGGGTTCCTATGGATCTTACAGTCCCACCACGCCATGTGGAGTAGTACTGCAGAGTCATTGAGACCATGCACTCCAGGGGCGCCTGGGTGGCTCAGTCGGTTAAGCGTCTGACTCTTGATTTCAGCTCAGGTCATGATCTCAGGGTTGTGAGATCGAGCCCCACGCTGGGCTCTGCACTGAGTGTGGAGCCTGCTTAAGATTCTCTCTCTCCCTCTCCCTCTGCCCCAACCCCTGCTCTCTCTCTCTCTCTGAGAATCCGCACCCGCACCACTCAAAAAAAAAAAAAAAAAGACCCTGCGCTCTGGAGCTGGAGTGGCTCGGTTAGAATCCCAGTTCCACCCTTGCTAGGCCCTGATCTTGACCAAGTTATTTAACTTCCCTGTACCTCAGTTCCTTCATCTGTAAAATGGGCTCACAGTGTAGTTATGATGACTATCAAGTTTACAGAATGTGCTTACAGCAGTGCCCAGCACAGAGTTAGAAAATCAAAATCAGGGCGCCTGGGTGGCTCAGTCGTTGGGCATCTGCCTTCGGCTCAGGTCATGATCCCAAGGTCCTGGGATCGAGTGCCACATCGGGCTCCCTGCTCCACGGGAAGCCTGCTTCTCCCTCTCCCACTCCCCCTGCTTGTATTCCTGCTCTCGTTGTGTCTCTCTCTGTCAAATAAATAAATAAAATCTTAAAAAAAAAAAAAAAAAGAAAGAAAATCAAAATCAGTAAGGAAAGGGTACTGGCACAAAAATAGACATATAGATCAATGGAACAGAACAATAAAGAGCTCAGAAATAAACCCATGCTTATATATTCAATTAGTCTATGACAAAGGAGGCAAGAATATACAATGGGGAAAAGACAGTCTCTTCAATAAATGATGTTGGGAAAACTGGACAGTTACATTCAAAAGAATGGAATTGGACCACTTTCTTACACCATGCACAAAAATAAACTCAAAATGAATTAAAAACCTAAATGTGAGACCTGAAACCATAAAACTCCTAGAAGAAAACATAGGCAGTAATTTTTTGGCTGTCAGCTACAGAAACATCTTCCATTGATAAAACAAAAAGACCACCTACTGAACGGGAGCAGATATTTGCAAATAACATATCCAGTAAGGGGTTAATATCCAAAATATATAAAAAAAACTTATTCAACTCAATCATAAAAATACAAATTATCCAATTAAAAGTGGGCAGAGGATCTGAATAGACATTTTTCCAAAGAAAACACCCAGATAGCAATACACACACACGAAAAATGCTCAACATCACTCACCATCAGGGAAATGCAAATCAAAACCACATGAGATATCATTTCATACCTCAGAATGGCTAGAATAAAGAAGACAAGAAATAACAAATGTTGGCGAGGATGCGGAGAAAAAGGAACCCTCGTGCACTGTTGGTGGGGATGGAAATTGATACAGCCATTGTGGAAAAGAGTATAAAAAGCCCTCAAAAACTTAAAAATACAGTTGCTATAGGATCCAGTAATTCCACTACTGTGTGTTTACTCAAAGAAAATGAAAACACTAATTTGAAAAGATAGGCGCACCCCTATGTTTATTGCAGCATTATTTATAATAGCCAAGTTATGGAAGCAACCCAAGTGTCCACCCATACATGAATGGATAAAGAAGAAACGGCATACATAGAAATGGAATATTACTCAATTATTAAATATAATATGATATAATGCTAAGGGAAATAAGTCCATCAAAGAAAAACAAATACCATATGATTTCACTTGTATATGGAATTTAAGAAATGAAAATAAGACACAAACAAAACGCCAGACTCTTAAGAACAGAGAACACACTGACGGTTCCCAGAGGGGAGGTGTGTGGGAGGATGGGTGAAATAGGTGAAGGGTATCGAGAGTACACTCATCATGATGAGCACTGAATAATGTATAGAATTGTTGAATCATATTGTACACCTGAAACTAATATAAAACTACATGTTACTTATACTTTAATTTTTAAAAAAAGGAAATAATATTTTGTACTCATGAGAAGTGCTAAAATAAAAAAGACTGGCAAAAAAAAAATGAGGCACAGAGATCACATGTCTCTCAAGTTCCCACAGCTAAGAAGTGGCAGAACCAAGAATCAAGTTCAGGCCACGTGATTCTTCATGCCCCTGCCAAGTGCACTATACAGGTCTCTAAGTTCCCATACTTCCCACAATTCCCACTGGAGGCAGGGGAGAATGAGCGACAGCTAATGATGAAGGGGACACTGACATCAGAAACCTACCATGAAGTTCTTCATGGTGACATCCTTGCTTACCTGTCCAGGGCCGTGCTGGTGGGCATACTCCTCCCAAACCCTCGAACCCCCATCTGACGGAAATATGGAATGCAAGAGAGGTTGGCAGCAATGATGGCCAGTGAGTCAGAAGGGCTCACAAAGAAGCCATTTCGGCCTAGAATCATATAACGGTCCTGTCAGAAGGAATGGGTGAAAATGATCAGACAGAGGCATCTGCTGCTAGCACGCCATTCCCATAATCATCACAAGCTTCTCTACCACCATTCCATATTTAAACAACCTAAAACAGCTTGAATGAAGCCAGAGGGCATGAGAAACCATCTTTTAAATTCCTGAGTATTGGGGCGCCTGGGTGGCTCAGTCGTTAAGCGTCTGCCTTCGGCTCAGGTCATGATCCCGGGGTCCCGGGATCGAGTCCCACATCGGGCTCCCTGCTCAGCGGGAAGCCTGCTTCGCTCTCTCCCACTCCCCCTGCTTGTGTTCCTGCTCTTGTTGTCTCTCTCTGTCAAATAAATAAAATCTTTTAAAAATAAAAATAAATAAATAAATAAATTCCTGAGTATTGTAGGGCCCAGCACCTTGACACAGTTAGGAATGTGTCCCACCTGTTGAAATGTGGATGACTATCTCAAGCTTCAGTAGTCTCCATATACTTATACAAGAATTATTGCTGAAATACCTTGTTCCTCAAGATGGCAATTTTAACAAAACCAACCATAAATAAAGATTTATTGCATGAATATTTTTTTAAAGAAATAACCTTTTTATAACATAATGATACCCTGGAACTAAGAAAACTAAAAGCTATTTAACTGCAATACAGAAGAGCCATTAAAAAGAAGAGCAGAGGCAGAACCAGTTAGGGTTCAAATGCCCCATATGTATCAGCCAGCCCCGTGAATTCTCTGGCTTCCGATGCTTGGCTTATTATCTGGTAAAAGGGTCAGCAGGCAGGAAATTTTCCTACTTACCCCATCAGCATCAAATGCAGCTCCAAATCCATATTCTCCTCCTTTCATAGCTTCCAGAAGGGTTGTTGCATATGTCAGGTTTGGGTCAGGATGCTGCCCTCCAAAATCTTCCAAAGGAACACAGTTTATTGCAGAATTGGCTGGAGCTCCCAGCTCATCACACAAGACTTTTCTCACGTAGGGTCCCATGACTAAAAAGAGGTAAGTGGCAATATGAAATCTTTGAAGAAACCCCCAAGAGTGTTCTGTTCTGGTTAGAACAAGAAAGACCATTTAATAGCACAAGATAAAAATTCTACAAGCTTTGTCAAGACACAACACAGAGTACTACTTATTTCAGTTACTATTCATTGAGTACCTACTATGTGCCAATTGCTGTGCTGGGCATATAGATGTATCCAATAACCAGTTACATAAAATTTTTCTCCAAAACTTTTCTAATATGTTGCCAGAAAGAAACCAACTACTTAATAATGATCCATTGTGTATTGCTCTTTGTGTATTAAAAAATTTTGGCTAAATATAGGCAAAAACACTAAAGGCTCTAGGAATGTTCTTTGTCTCTGCAATCATTTTAACTCTGCCAAGTATATAATTGGACACTGTAAACCACGGAAGCATATAAAACTAAGCATATTTTGCAAAATAATTGCTAAGAAATTGTATTTTCCAGTTCAACACATTTATGGAGCACCTAACATGGAATTCCTATGTTAAGAATAGAAACATCATATTCAAGGGATGCAAATCACACTGATTCTACATTACTAGGCTCTTAATCCAGCAGTGGGATGGGTCAAATCTACAGGTGAGTGATTGCAGTGGTAAGACTGGTACTATGCAATGGATATTTATAAAACCATTAGATCCAATGGCTTATGAGAAGAAACAACCACAGGTAAAGTTTCAAGAAAGAGGTAGAATTTCTGGAGGGACTTGAAGAGAATATAAATTTGATAGAGATGGGGAGTAGGGATGCCATCCAAATGGAAAGGACATTATGAACAAGGGAATGGAGCCTGAGTTAGAACATACAGCAGATCTGGGGACCAGCATGTAATCCTGTTGGTTGAAATATATGTAAAGCTCCGCTGAGGGACGTCACTCCAGTGGCTAAGCGGGTGAGCACAGAGTGCGGCCAGAGACCGGGGAGATGGGAGTGACTGACTGCTTTTCTCTGGGGGCGCACTGAGGAGTGGGGCCCCGAGTTCTCGGCTCCTCTGGGGTGGAGATTGGGGGGCCGCCATTTTCACTCTCAGCCTCCAAAGCTGTACGGAAAGCTCGCAGGGAACAAAAGCTCCGGAGAGCAAACCCCAGCAGATTACTTAGCCCAGACCTGCAAGGGCAGGGCAATTCCGCCTCCGGCAAAGACATTTGGAAACCACGGCAACAGGCCCCTCCCCCAGAAGATCAGCGAGAACAGCCAGCCAAGACCAAGTTTACGGATCAAGGAGAACGGCAGAACTCCAGCACTAGGGGAATATGCACATAGAATTCATGGATTTTTCCCCACAATTCTTTAGTCTTTGAAAGTTAATTTTTTTAATTTTCTTTATTTTTTTCTTTTTCTATTTTTTTAATTTGTCATCTTTCCTTTTTCAACCAACATCTTATCAATCCCTTTTTTAAAAATCATTTTAATTTTCATTTTTAGAGTCATATTCTATCCCTTCATTGTAGTTAACCTTATTTTTTCTCTATATATAAGTTTTTCTGTCTTTAAAATTTTGGGGTACAGTTTCTTCTAACAGACCAAAATATACCCTAAATCTCTAGTGTATGGCTCTGTTCTAGTCTCCTGCCTGATCACATTCTCTCCCTTTTTTTCTTCTTTTTTAAACCAACTTCTTATCTTATAAATTCCTTTTATAAATCTCTTATAATTTTCATCTTTACAGTCATATTCCATCCCTTCATTTTATTTACCTTTATTTTAGTACATATATGTTTTTCTTTCTTTAAAAATTTGGGAGGCAGTTTCTCCTAACAGACCAAAATACGCCTGAAATCTAGTGTGTGGCTCTGATCTATTCACCAGCCTGATCATATTCTTTTCTTTTTCTTCTTTCCCTTTCTATTCCCCCCGTTCTCGGATCCCCTCTGATCTGTTTAGTGTATATTTTTCTGGGGTCATTGTTACACTTTTAGCATTTTGTTCTCTTATTCATCTATTCTCCTTCAGACAAAATGACAAGATGGAAAAAATCACCTCAACAAAAAGAACAAGAGGCAGTACCAACTGCCAGGGACTTAATACAGACATTAGTAAAATGTCGGAACTAGAGTTCAGAATGATGATTATAAAGATACTAGCTGGGCTTGAAAAAAACATGGAAGATACTAGAGAATCCCTTTCTGGAGAAATAAAAGAACTAAAATCTATCCAAGTCGAAATCAAAAAGGCTATTAATGAGGTGCAATAAAAAATGGAAGCTCTAAAAGCTAGGATAAATGAGGCAGAAGAGAGAATCAGTGATATAGAAGACCAAATGATGGAAAATAAAGAAGCTGAGAAAAACACAGATAAACAACTACTGGATCACGAGGGCAGAATTCGAGAGATAAGTGATACCGTAAGATGAAACAATATTAGAATAATTGGGATCCCAGAAAAAGAAAGGGGGGGGGGGAGAAGGTATATTGAAGCAAATTATAGCAGAGAACTTCCTTAATTTGGGGAAGGAAACAGGCATCAAAATCCAGGAGGCACAGAGAACCCCCTCTCAAAATCAATAAAAATAGGTCAACTCCCCGACATCTAATAGTAAAACTTACAAGTCTCAGAGACAAAGAGGAAATCCTGAAAGCAGCTCGGGACAAGAGGTCAGTAACCTACAATGGTAGAAACATTAGAATGGCAGCAGACCTATCCACAGAGACCTGGCAGGCCAGAAAGGACTGGCAGGATATATTCAGAGCACTAAACAAGAAAAATATGCAGCCAAGAATACTATATCCAGCTAGGCTTCATTGAAAATAGAAGCAGAGATAAAAAGCTTCCAGGACAAACAAAAATTAAAAGAATTTGCAAACACGAAACCAGCCCTACAAGAAATCTTAAAAGGGGTCCTCTAAGCAAAGAGAGAGCCTAAAAGTAACATAGACCAGAAAGGAACACAGACAATATACAGTAACAGTCACCTTACAGGCAATACAATGGCACTAAATTCATATCTTTCAATAGTTACCCTAAATGTAAATGGGCTAAATGCCCCAATCAAAAGACACAGGATATCAGAGTGGATAAAAAAAAGACCCATCGATATGCTGCCTGCAAGAGACTCATTTTAGACACAAAGACACCTCCAGATTGAAAGTGAGGGGTGGAAAACCATCCATGCTAATGGACACCAAAAGAAAGCTGGGGTGGCAATCCTTACATCAGACAAATTAGATTTTAAAGATTTTTTTTTAAATTTTTATTTATTTGACAGAGAGAGAGACAGTGAGAGAGGGAACACAAGCAGGGGGAGAGGGAGAAACAGGCCTCCCGTGGAGCAGGGAGCCCAATGTGGGGCTCGATCCCAGGACCCTGGGATCATGACCTGAGCTGAAGGTAGATGCTTAATGACTGAGCCACCCAGGTGCCCCAGACAAATTAGATTTTAAGCCAAAGAGTATAATAGGAGATGAGGAAGGACACTATATTCTACTTAAAGGGTCTACCCAACAAGAAGGTCTAACAATTGTAAATATCTATGCCCCTAACATGGCAGCAGCCAATTACATAAGCCAATTAATAACAAAAGCAAAGAAACACATCGACAACAATATAATAATAGTAAGGGACTTTAACACCCCCCTCACTGAAATGGACAGATCGTCTAAGCAAAAGATCAACAAGGAAATAAAGGCTTCAAATGACACACTGGACCAAATGGACTTCACAGATATATTCAGAACATTCCATCCCAAAGCAACAGAATACACATTCTTCTCTAATGCCCATAGAACATCCTCCAGAATAGATCACATCCTAGGTCACAAATCAGGTCTCAACCGGTACCAAAAGATTGGGATCATTCCCTGCCTATTTTCAGACCACAATGCTTTGAAACTAGAACTCAATCACAAGAGGAAAGTCGGAAAGAACTCAAATACATGGAGGTTAAAGAGCATCCTACTAAAGAATGAATGGGTCAACCAGGAAATTAAAGAAGAATTAAAAAAATTCATGGAAACAAATGAGAATGAAAACACAACTGTTCAAAACCTTTGGGATGCAGCAAAGGCGGTCCTAAGAGGAAAGTATATAGCGATACAAGCCTTTCTCAAGAAACAAGAAAGGTCTCAAATGCACAACCTAACTCTACACCTAAAGGAGCTGGAGAAAGAACAGCAAATAAAGCCTAAACCCAGCAGGAGAAGAGAAATCATAAAGATCAGAGCAGAAATCAATGAAATAGAAACCAAAAGAACAGATCAACGAAACTAGGAGCTGGTTCTTTGAAAGAATTAACAAGATTGATAAACCCCTGGCCAGACTTATCAAAAAGAAAAGAGAAAGGACCCAAATCAACAAAATCATGAATGAAAGAGGAGAGATGACAACCAACACCAAAGAAATACAAACAATTATAAGAACATATTATTAGCAACTATATGCCAGCAATTAGACTATCTGAAAGAAATGGATGCATTCCTAGAGAAGTACAAACTACCAAAACTGAAAGAGGAAGAAATAGAAAACCTGAATAGACCCATAACCAGCAAGGAAACTGAAGCAGTCATCAAAAATCTCCCAACAAACAAGAGCCCAGGGCCAGATGGCTTCCTAGGGGAATTCTACCAAACATGTAAAGAAGAATTAATACCTATTCTTCTGAAACCGTTCCAAAAAATAGAAATGGAAAGAAAACTTCCAAACTCATTTTATGAGGCCAGCATTACCTTGATACCAAAAGCAGACAAAGACCCCATCAAAAAGGAGAATTACAGACCAATATCCCTGATGAACATGGATGCAAAACTTCTCACCAAAATACTAGCCAAGTGGATCCAACAGTACATTAAAAGGATTATTCACCACGACCAAGTGGGATTTATCCCTGGGCTGCAAGGTTGGTTCAACATCCACAAATCAATCAATGTGATACAATACATTAACAAAAGAAAGAACAAGAACCATACAATCCTCTCAATAGATGCAGAAAAAGCATTTGACAAAGTATAGCATCCTTTCTTAATTGAAACTCTCACAGTGTAGGGATGGGGGGAACATAGCTCAATATCATAAAAACCATATGTGAAAACCCCACAGCAAATATCATTCTCAATGGGGAAAACAGGTGTTCAGAATTATTTGATAGCTATCTAGCTGAATTCCAGGGACCAGACGAAACTAGGGTCCCCTACTCCTCCACCATCTTCCTCCCTTCTCCTCAGTAATATTTTAATAGCAACCAAGAAGATATAGTAGAATGGCTAAAATTGAAAATACTGACAATACCAAGTGTTGGTGAGGACATGGAAAAACTAAAGTCATCATACACTGCTGGCAATGCAAATTGTACAGCCACTTTGGAAAAAAGCTTGGCAGCTTCATATAAAGTGAATTGTGTACTTGTCCTGTGACTCAGCAATCCCCGTCCTGGGTATTTATCTAAGACAAATGAAGTCATGTAACCCATAAAGACTTATTCACAAATGTTAATAGCAACTTTGTTTGTAGTAACCAAAACCTGGAAATAACCATAATTATATCAACTGATGAACAGATAAACAAACTATAGTACATTCCTACAATGGAATACTACTCGGTAGTAACAAGAAATCAACACTGATAACATTCAACACCATGACTCTACCTCTAGAATTTTATGTGAGTGAAAGAAGCCTGAAGAAAAGGGCTTTACATATTTTATGCTCCATTTAGATGGCTTTCTGGAAAAGGCAAAATTATGTAGGCAAAACCAGATGAGTGATTGCCAGGAGCTAGGGATTAGGATGAGGGGTACGACTACAAAGGGCCACAAGGGAACTTGCTGAAGTGAGGGAAATATTCTATATCTTGATTGTCACAGTCATTACATGACTATATGTTTTTGTCAAACCTCCTCAGAGTGCATGCCTAAAAGATGTCAGTTTTACTGCATATTAATTATACCTCAGTAAACCTGACTTATTTTAAAAATATGACATTCGTGAAACATGAAATAGGGCACTATTCATAAAAAAAGTTGTGCTGTGAGAAAATATATTTTACATGGCTCAGCAGTGTTCTGATATTGTAGACACTGGATACTGATCTCACCAAAATTATGATATAATTAGTTGAGAGAAGTGTGCTTGGATTGAGTGAATGGAGAGGGTAAAAGAGAGCTACCACCTCATCTTCCATCGTATAACGTCAGTAATGCCCAAACTGAAACTCAATAAGGAGAAGTATATTCATAGTATTTAGTAATAGGGAGATAAATACTTAAAAGAAAAAAGTTTAAAATGTTAAAAAAAAAAAAAAAGTTGCCTCTGTAGGAAACTGGGGGGAGTTGGGCCCAGATTTTGTTCATAATAAACTTTGAACTACTCGACTGTTTAAACTATATGTGTGTACAGTGATCAAAATAGATTTTTTGGCGGGGGGGCACCTGGATGGCTCAGTCGGTTAAGTGTCTGTCTTTGGCTCACATTATCTCAGGGTCCTGGGATCGAGCTCCATGTTGGCCTCCCTGCTCAGTGAGGAGTCCTCTCCCTCTGTCCCTCCCCTCCACTCATGCACTCTCTCTCTGAAATAAATAAACAAAATCTTTTAAAAAATAGATTTTTTTAAGTGACTACAGTTAACTATCCATTCAACACTTGAATAGGCAGTCTCCAACTCATTTGTTCACCACTATCTTCATTTGTTTCAAAAGAGAGAAAGTGCCAGGGGTGGGGGATGGGGGGATGCACAAAATGCAGGAAGGGGAGTGGGAGATCCAGGCTTCCAGTTATGGAATGAATAAGTCATGGGGATGAAAGGTACAGCATAAGGAATATAGTCCACGGTATTGTAACAGCATTGCATGGTGACAGGCTACATGTGTGGTGAGCAGAGCATAACATATAGAACTGTCAAATCACTATGTTGTACACCTGAAACTATTGTAACATCGCATGTCAACTACACTTCAATTAAAAAAATGATGTATTTTTTTAATTTAAGAAAAAAAAAGAGAAAGAAATTAAAACCCTGAAGTTTTCCAGAACGTTCCAAGTATCTGAACATAAACACATTGTGTGAGTATCTATGAATCCAATCTTCCTCATAATCTCAAAAACCCAACACAGGTAGAGGTCTCCTTAACATTTCTAGTCCACCAACTGGGAGAAGACCACGAACTTACCTCCGTGCATCGCATCAACTCGGATCTTCAGTTGGCCAGGCCCTGTCAGCAAACTCTTGATGGCATTAAAGTCAAAGATGGTCCGAAGGAGGTTGAGATAGATATCTACTGGGTCCACTATCTCCACTAAGGGTAGGAAAGCAAAAGGAAACATCATTGACCATACCCATGAAGCATACTTGGAAGTGTAAAAAAGAATCACCACCCTCATAGCATGAAGTTCTGATCACAATCCCATCATAACCCTACCCATCATGCAGGAAGCCAAGTGTCCACTTGTATGCTAAGTCACAAATTAAGATACATTCAAGATCCTCCCAACTTTTCTGGTCACAAATGGGTACACATAATACAAGCTATACATTCCTCTTTGCAAATGAAGAATCAACCACAAAATAAAGTAGTTAAGATCAAACTGTGCCCTTTTATCCCACCTTCCTTCTACCACCTCCCTTCCAAAGAAGGCACACACCTCAATGCTAAGAGGCATCTTGGCACCCCCAGGTGCCTCTCCTGTGGGGCTCAGCCAAAGAATGACTCAGAAGGCTTAAAACAAATCAAGGAGTGACTTCAGCAGTGACCCTTATTTTCTAAATGCCATTGTGCCCACTAAATCCAGGGTTAGAATTGGTGATGAAAGATACATTCCTGAGTTTGTATGAGTCTCTTGTGTGCCCAATCCAGTACCCATTTCAGGGTGAATGCCAGATATTTAGAAATCCTCATTAAACACAAGTATTCTGCAATGTTTGGCACCACCCAGTGACCAGGAATCCCAAACTAGTCTTTTCCAGTTATTTGACAGATACACACAATGCCAAATATTCATTACATTTTTCAAACTTGGCCATCAACATATAATTAACACTAAGAAAGTATTTTCCTAGAATAGTAAATACTTGACTCTTTAGGCACTAAAATTTGTCCATAAGCCCTGCTTTTAAGTTCATAGTTAAATTTTGAAATGTATGTATGTTGTTTTTCAAATTTTTCAAATACATACTACTTTGGAATTCTGAAATACTTAAACCTGCACTAAACATATTACCAATCCACCTTTAACAATTTTCAGTAAATTCCAGGTATAATATTTAATGAATGGAATTTTAATATGATATATGAAAATATCCCTTCATCTGGTCAAACACCCACCTAAAAATAATTTTCCTTGCACTTAAATCAATATAGTATGTGTGCCTACTCAAATATAATGTAATAATTTTCTGATGAACACAAATCATTTTTAATCTTTTGGCCTGAGAGGGATATTAATTTATACAATAAATTAAGAATTAATCTGTATGAAATGTATACCTAAAAATGGTTAAAATAGTAAATTTTACGTTATGTATATTATACCACAATAAAAAAATTAATCTATGAAGTAAAAGTGTACATTAGAAGTCTTACTCCACAATATAAGGTAATATTTTTGGCAATTTCATTCTGGTTCTTTAATTCTTGAACCACTTGCCTAAATATACTTGGTATTCATAGCAGATAACACATAGTAAACAGAAATGTAAAAAAACAAGGAAGCAAGTAGAAATCAGTGAAAGTTGAAAGTTCACATCAAATAGTTCATGCTCTAGACCCCTTAAGGTGAAATGCCAAGGAATGATGTATTTCCAATTAACTCAAGCCTTGCTCAACATTTAAAACAGCAAGAACACAGCACATAAATTATCCCAAATGATTATCTCCAAATTCTTCTTGGGAGCCAAGGAATTCTTCTACCCACCTCCTGATATCCACAGCATTTTAAAAAACTCATCAAATTAACAATATGGCTGCAGAAACAGCCTGAATCTGAGCTCACCAAAGATATGGGTCTCTTAGACAAGTATAAAAATTGTGAAGATACCAGAAGTAAATAAATCATTCATAACTTCTTCCTGATGGTAATGCCTGATTTTTCCCAGTCATCTCGCTGTCCGGTTTTTCCAAACATATGTAAACAAGCATATTTAAATCCATTTGTTTCATATAATATATCCCCTGTTTACAGTTGTCAAACCACTGTGTGTGCATGTGTGTGCATGCTCCCAGCTAGATTAATAAAAGGAGGCACCACTGTTTCCAATATCACATTGCTTCCAGTTAATTTCTGCTGGTTAGCTAAGCAAGCAACTGACTCAAAATCCTTCAAGAAAAAGGTAGTAGTGTTGGCTTAACAGTGTGACCCCTCAACAGTCCATTTCAAGCTCTTCCTTGCCTGTCCCTCAAATGCCATGTGGCTGCAAGCCTGGTATTTAATCTTTTCAGCTAAATTAATTTACTTGTCAAATAAGGATAACATCTTAACACAGACTGTATTTAAGCATATAGGGCACTAAAGGAGTAACAAGGTGGTTTAGGGCTAATTGTATATGTTCTAGGAAAAAGCAACAGGATAAAAGAGGGGGGGACATAATATGCATATATATGGTATTAGTGATGTTATATTGTTCAATATTAATCTGTAAAATTAAAAGTTATAATCTGAGTACTTCAGAAGTTTCAGTCACTCTCTAGTATGGGATATTTGGGGCAATTTCATTCTGTGCTTTGCCTCAATCCATTTGGTACTTACTGAGCTCCTTCATAAAATCTCCTCACATAGTGCTTGGTATGGAATGGGTGATCCTTTGCACATTGAATCAAGTTGAACAGCATGGTTCTGGTTCTGACTTGGAAAAAAAAATGCCTACCATCCATGCGTATTTTTAATAACTCCATTACCTTGTTGGTTCTCTTCTTAACTACATAAAATATTCCAGCATCTTCACTGTAATTGATTAGAAAAGTGAAGACATGGTTTGGCGATTCATGTCCTATTCTTGAAATGGCATAAGGGAGTCAGCTATGACGTTTTTCCTATGTTGAAAGTGATCTAGAGTTTGAGAAGTCATTTTTAAAAGCTGCCAGTTCTGAGTATCTTGGCTGCTCTCACTTCCCTGTACACCACAGTCATACTACATCTGCTTATCAAGTCACTCCCCAAATAGATAAACCAATCACTTTGGTGTGTGCACCCCCCTCATCCCAGAAAGCAGAGTCACCTCCACCCATGGAGTTATTCTGAGTTCTTCAAAATATAATCTATTACCTCTAAATGGCTTGAATTTGTTCTCCAGGTCAAATTCTTGTCTTCCAAGCCGAGATAGGTCAATTCGAAGATCAGGGCATATGGCATATTCCTCAATTGTTTTGCTGATCTGATAGATTTTGTCTGAGACCACATCTGGTGCAGGACCTACATTTGGAAATAGCACACCACCAAAAATACATTTTTTTTAAAAAGTGTCTGCAACTTCAATCAGAGGAATGTTACTTCCTTCACCACCAAGCAAAAGAAAGATTCATTTGTTCTCCAAACAATGGACAACAGTTCACCGTTCAATTAGGCTCCATATTCCTTGTGTTGTAATCATCCATGATGGAGGAAATTTGGTCAGCCTCAACTGTTCTACATAGGCTAATAACCCATATGTTTGTTTGTCTGAATCCACTTCTGAGCAATGATACATCTTCCCTAAAAATAGTTTCACACCTGCCAGGGAGACCCGGTTATGTAATCAGCTTTTTTCAGGATATGAGACACCAACAGGATATGCACTTGACAGAAGTGAGGGATTCCAGATTTAAACTGCAGCCTCCCAAGTGCACCTAGAAAAAGAAAATATGACTTCTACTCCCAAGTCTGCTCCCTTGTTGAGGCAGAAGCTTGCCAGGGTTAACTGTTTTCCCCAACTCACACTCTCTAGTGACTTCCAAGTTTTTAAAATGAGGTTTAACCAAAAATACTTGATGTGCTTCCTCACAAGGTCAAGAGGACAATTAGGCTGTGAAAGACTTTAAATGAACATGAAATCAACAGTTGGACCGGCTTCCAATTTTCTTTTTAATTTTTGTATCTTACTGCAAGTCACTTAAGATTTCTTGCAACAAGTTTGGGAATCAAATGAGTACATTGAAAGATCTGAAATATCAATAGATAGGTTTTGTATGAATTATACTCACCAAGTCTACTGTAACTTTCAACTGAAAAGAAATCAAGAAATAATTTCTTTTCTATCCCAATCCTTCAAGCTACACTGTTCAATATAGTAGCCACTAATGATATGTAGCTATTGAGCACCTGAAATATGGCTAGTGAAATTGATACGTGCTGTGCTTGTAAAATACACATCAAATTTTGAACAGTTCATAGAAAAAATCTAATAGATTGCATTTAACTTTTATAGTAACATGCCGAAATAATATTTTCAGTATACTAGGTTTAAAAGTGCATCATTCATTTCACCTTTTGTTTTTTACTTTTTTATGTGGCTACTAGAAAGTTTAAAATCATCTCCGACTCACAATGTATTTCTATTAGACGGTGCTGCCTTAAAGCATAGCACTGTTTTTGTCTCCCAATAAATGCTCATTGAATGTATAAAAAGGAACAGCACCTAAACACCTCAAACTGTACACATTAACTATGTGCAGATTTTTTTTGTATATCTATTATATCTCAAGAAAGTTGTTTTAAAAATAAATACCCCCATTCTAGTGCATGGGAAAGAAGCCTAGTAGATTTTACCCATATTTCCTTGTCCTTTAGGAAAAGTAAAGACTGCAAAGAAACAAAAACAAAAACAAAAACATGGCCCTCCTCCTCCACTCCTCACCATTTTTTATCCTTCTGCAAAATGTAAAACAGTAAATAGTCTTTTTCAGTCTTTGCGTTTTTTATGCTTGTCCGATTGGAGAATGCACGAATATCTCCCTGCTCCCCTAGGTGCCACACTGTGTTCTTTGGCTGTATCCCTCACTTTTAAACAGCCTGATTTAATGACAAAGTATACTGGTTTCCAAAAGTAAAACAACTTCTAGCAAGTTTGTTTTCTATGATGCCACTCAACCACTTGTGTTGTTAACCTCACAGTTCATCAACAACCTCTGCATCCATCGACCACTTCCAAGTTCCTTGACATCTTCCGCTCTAATGAGTTTTCCTCTTCATTTTAGTCAGTGGCTGGTAGAGTCATATCTTAAGTATTATTGTCTCTTGAAATCCTTTCAAAAATACCAAATTTGAGTGTCCTCAACCCACAGATTCCTTATCAGCCATCTACCCTACTCCATACTTCTGCTGAACCTGCCCTTTCCTATACTGATGCTTATCATCACTTGATTAATCCCAGGCTATCCATCCATTCTAGTTTCACTGGTCTCTAATCTCAGGCAAGACCCTAAGGTCCACCATTTGAGCCATACCTTTGTTAGCATAATAACATGAACCTACATTTATTGAAACTTACATATACCACCTTTCACACTTTACCTGGAATTCAGCACTCACAAAAAGCAGATGAAGTAGGAGTTATTATTACCCTCATTTTCCAAATGGGGAAACTGAAATTTGAAGAGGTGGAGATCTTTAACCAAGGTCCTATCATTGGTAATAGACAGAGGCTGGATTTTGAATCCTAATCGTCTGATGTCTGCTCAGACACCCGTAACAAGTATAAGCCGCCTTGAGGCTGTGCCAAACCTACACAGCCATTCCCCAACCCTGAGACATCACCATCAGCCACCCCCACTGCTGCAATTTCCAGACTCCCACATACTGTTGGAGGTAGTCAAAAATTACACCAATTGACTCCCCCTAAGAATGAGGCCACTTAGCTTTTTGACTTCTCATGTATGAATCATCAATACATTTCCCAGAGTACCTTTTACAAAATACATCCCAAGTCCTTCTTCTCCTTGTCCCATTATCTCAGCAGGCAATTTTCTTCTTACTTTCTTTTTGAACAGGTATAGTAACTATTACCCCAAACTTTCATTCTGCACCCCTCAGAGTTGTTTTGTTCCCCATCCTTGCCTTCTCTTTCAGAAGTTCTGCTCCCTTCCCAGAATCTAGGCTCTAATTGAGCTCCATACCTTACTAATTCTGTGACACTGGTCAAGCTTTTTAAAACATTTTATTCCTCAGTGACTTCAGCGGGTTGTTATGAGGATTAAATAAGATAATGTAAGTAAGTTCTGAGTATGGTGCCCAGCACATTGTAAGATTCTAAAAAATCCAGTATTTTTATTATGGATTCCATTTCCCCTCTAACATCTTCATCTCTACTTAAAAACATGCTCAGAATGGTCCTGTCCTCTAAATGCACTTTAAAAGCAACATAGTTCCAGATGTGTCCTATTTCCCTGGCTGTGCCTACTAATTCTGTGGACACTTAGCTTTCTTTATTTTTTAAAGATTTATTCATTTATCTGAGAGAGAAACAGAGAGCGTGTGCAAGTGGTGGGGGGCAGAGGAAGAGAGAGAGAGAAACAGACTCCCCTTTGAGCACGGAGCCCACCAAGGGGCTCAATGCCAGGCTGGATGCCAGGATCCCAAGATCATGAGCTGAGCCAAAATCAGGAGTCGGATATCCAACCACCTGAACCACCCCAGTGCCCCAAGACACTTAGCCTTTTAATTCATTCTAAAAAAAAGCATCTATACGACACACAATGAAAAGAGATGAATGCCTCTTCAGGAAAAAGAAATTACAGTAAAATTGATTCTACTTTGAGTAGGAAGAAACCAACTGAATCCTTCTTTGCCATTAGGAATGTTAGCTTCAGTAATGACGCCAAGACGATGCAAATAAGAAGAATTAAGTGTTAAGAGAGGGACTTTCAATGCAGTTAAAGGCCAAATGATAAATTCAATCCCCTTCCTGTATGGCTGAATAGGTCTCATTTCCTCCTGTAATTTCGTCTACAAAATGGGTATTTAAATAATAACTTCTTCCTTTATGTCTCATAGGATATCATAGAGATGACTGAGATGTTCTTATAAGATATGAAATCAAATATAAATTCCAAATGAATTTGGAATCCATTGTTTAGTTTGGCAACTTTTATAACACATTTCTCTACGAATTGCCATTTTCTGAGCCCATTCAATTTCCTGTGTTAACAGCATAGAGAATAACTGAATATTGCCTATTTTTTTCCCTCAAATCCTCAGTAGCTGCTGCAAGACTAGATGTGGGTCCTAGGTATGCTTTCTAATGAAGCAAAACTTCTCAAAGTATAGGACACGTCATAAGATGTTTTTTCTAAAACACTTGATGTGAGTGAAGTTCATTTGTTTGGATAATGTCCCAAATGGCTGCAAGGAGGTGGAAATAATGAATATTCTGGCCTAGGCCAAAAATAATTCATAAAGACTACTGTTGTTGGTTAAAATTCGGCTCCTATCTCTGTATAAATGCAGACTCAGTGTCCTAGATTAAGATTAAGAGACTTAACAATGAAATGCAATGCATAGTTCTTGGATGCATCCTGGTTTGAATAAAACAGCTATAAATAACATTTTGGAGATAATTGGAAAAATTTGAATATAGATTAGGTTTTAGATGATATTAGAGATTGGTGTTATTTTGTTACATATTTTGTTAGGTGTGATAATGTAGTTATGTTGGAATGTCTTTCTTTTTAAGAGATATATTCAGAAATATTTAGGTGTAAAATGTCTTCATGCTGTAATTTACCTTAAAATCCTTTAGGGGAGAAAAGTGCAAAATGGAAAAATGTATATACATTAATATGTGTGTGTGTGTGTGTGTATACATTAATATAAGAAATAGTGAAATAATTCTAAGCATTTCAGCAAGAGAAAGTCAACACTATAGGAAGGAGAGATGTCTACAAGTTATGCTAAAAAATCACTTGTCTGGCCTTGAGCAGCCATGTGAACTTGAGCAAATAACAGCCTCTTGGGGATTTCTTCACCTATAAAATGACAGGAATGATCTAAATGACTTAGAGGGTCCGTTCCAACTTTAAAACCCAGAGTCCTTCCATATCAGATAAGCATCCATTATACAACCATTTCACTGTGCTAAGGAGGGCACAGGACCAAGAGACCAAGTGGATTCAAGATCCCATTAGGCCACTTCCTTGTCATGTCACCTCAAGGGTTATGATGGTTGATTTTATATGTCAACATGACTGGGCCACAGGATGCCCAGATATTTGGTTAAACCTTATTCCTGTGTGTCTATAGGGCTGTTTCTGGATGAGATTAGTATTTGAATCAGTAGATTGAGGAAAGGAGAGTGCCGTCCCCAGTGTAGTGACCTCATCCAACCCACTGAAAGCCTGGACAGAACAAGAGGCTGAGTGAGGGAGAATTCACTCTCTCTGCCTGGCTTCCAGCTGAGACACAGTCCTCTCCTGCCTTTGAGCCCAGACTTGGACTGCAAC